AAAAAATAACTTGTTTCAAGAAATTCTAAAAAATAAATAACGGAAAAGTGGTGTGTGCATATGTATTCACCCCCTTTGCTATAATCCCCTAAATAAGATATGGTGTAACCAATTACCTTCAGAAGTCACATAATTATTTAAATAAAGTCCACCTGTGTGCAATCTAAGTGTCACATGATCTGTCACATGATCTCAGTATATATACACCTGTTCTGAAAGGCCCCAGAGTCTGCAACACCACTAGGCAAGGGGCACCACCAAGCAAGCGGCTTGAACATCCCACGGAGAACCATTCAATCCATTATTAAAAAATTGAAAGAATATGGCACCATAACAAACCTGCCAAGAGATGGCCGCCCACCAAAACTCACAGACCAGGCAAGGAGGGCATTAATCAGAGAGGCAACAAAGAGACCAAAGATAACCCCGAAGGAGCTGCAAAGCTCCACAGCGGAGATTGGAGTATCTGTCCATAGGACCACTTTAAGCCATACACTCCACAGAGCTGGGCTTTAAGGAAGAGTGGCCAGAAAAAAGCCATTGCTTAAAGAAAAAAATAAGCAAACACGTTTGTTGTTCGCCAAAAGGCATGTGGGAGACTCCCCAAACATATGGAAGAAGGTATTCTGGTCAGATTAGACTAAAATTGAGCTTTATTGCCATCAAGGAAAATGTCTGCCACAAACCCAACACCTCTCAAAAATCCCAGTGGCTAGATGTGCCAAGCTTATAGAGACATACCCCAAGAGACTTGCAGCTGTAATTGCTGCAAAAGGTGGCTCTACAAAGTATTGGCTTTGGGGGGGGGGGGGGGGGGGGGGGTGAATAGTTATGCACGCTCAAGTTTCTGTTTTTTTGTCTTATTTCTTGTTTATTTCACACAAAAATATTTTGCATCTTCAAAGTGGTAGGCATGTTGTGTAAATCAAATGATACAACCCCCCCAAAAATCCATTTTAATTCCAGGTTGTAAGGCAACAAAATAGGAAAAATGCCAAGGGGGGTGAATACTTTCGCAAGCCAATGTAGCTATTTGCTGGCGGAAATGGGGACACTTCAGGCCTAGTAGTACGTTTCACACATCCCCATGTGCTACACAAGCACGCAGACACGCTTAACCACAGAAGCGCACACACACACAAACACACACACAAATGTAAACTTTTTTCCAATTCTCTCACAGGAAACAGCCAATAGTTCCCTGAGTGGTAATTATGTATTTTTATTTTATTTTTTTGAGGGGGTAGATCACCTTGTAACTTGAATAATGAATTAGCCCGGGTTGATAATTTATGTAACCGCAAGTCGAAAACCCAAGCCCTGACTATTAGCGGAACTGCAAACATAGCACAAGGTCAAATTGCTAGCCGCAGCTCCGGACGATTTGAGTTGTTAATCACACCAGAAATAGAGAGAAGGTGTTTAAGTTCCTCCTTTATTTCTTAGCGCTATGCTAATTTATTCTGTGAGGTAAAAAAATGTACTGGGAGTGGCAGAGGAAGACAAAAAGGGACTGTGGGAAGACAAAGGGGGCCTTTTTGATATTTTTAGATCACCTAGGGTAGTTTTAGAGTTATGGTCGGGCAGTGTCTGCAGATACCTCACAGCTGATGTCATGACTTCTTATCTGTTCCGGAGGAGCACGACTGCACAAAAGGACTGTAAATCATATTGTGAGGTCCGCAGGAATGTGTTCAAAAGGCCAGAAAACGTTTTCTTACCAGATCATTGATTTCAGACCGACCAATCCAGCGATCTCAGCTGCCCATATGTTATTGGAGTTGAACCGTTAACACCCCAAAGGGAAACGACAGGGATGCCAAGGCATCCTTGAACATGACCTAACTTGAAATTGTGGAACATGTAGTGGATACTGTAACATTGTAGTCTACAAGACAGCATCATAAGCTATATTGAAAGAACAATTCTTTGACATAATTTAGAGCTCTCAAACTCAGTTGATATGGTATCAAATAATAGAATTCTGACAAAGACATTACAGTGGATATATTTGAACATGTAGACTATGGAGCAGAATTTAAGGCTATTGCTTTGCCCAGCACGAGAGCAATTTTGATTGCTCAGAGAAAGGCAAAATTATGATCTCCTGAGCACCTTTTTGTCCCTTCTATGACATTGTTTTTTTTTAAGGCTGCACGGATTGTCACATTCCATTATGATACTCAACATGCATCCATGTTCCGAGGCACGTTCCTGGCTTTTGATTCGCTTTAGAAATCAACTGATTTTCCGTTCGACCTTGCAACGGGTTGTGGGAGGCTCGGGGGAGGGAACTACCTCGCACAATTAATTCCTCTCCTCCTCCTCCTCCTCTCTCTCCTTTCAAACGAAACACCTCTGCAAACCCATTCTCTTTCATTAGGCTATTTCTTTAATGGCACTTTAACACAGAGGTTCTTTTTTCCTGTCTTCTTTTTACTTGGAATCTAAAACCGTTTCATGTTTTTTTTATGCAGTGTGGGCAACGGCTGTAACCAGTAGATTTATTGTCACATTTGATGTATTAATCCGCAAAGCTTTTAAGGCACTCTTCTTGGCCAGCATTATTATCTGTATGCCCCTAAGTCATGAGAGGAGGCATTTTTCTAAATAGTTTTTAAGTATTACATATTTGTGAGAGAAATGTTAATGTTAGGCTCTCTAAATAGGTTATTTTTCTCATAACTTTTTCTCATAATTATTGTTAACAACCGAAAGTAAGTCATTTGACTCACCGGCTTAGTATAACCAGACTCCTGATAATTTCATTGCCCAGATTTTAGACTATCAGTATTGCATTTGATAGGCCTGCATGAGTATCCAACATTTACATTTTCAAGCCTTATCTGATACCAAATCCCTGCCTTTAGCTATGGTTAATTACCATAGAGAGCATGTTTTGTGGTGACTTATTTTTGAATAATAGCCACCATACTATATAGACTCCATACTAAACAAAAGTGGAAGTTTTGTATTTCCTCTTAGCACAAGCTGTGGCTCTTTCTCGTGTCCTTCTCCCTCTCTCTGTCACTACTTGCCTGAGTTACTACTCTCCATTTGTTTGTGGCGTGATTGATTGTAACTCAAGATGTTAATAGAGTGCACATAGCCTGTAGTGTCGCCCCAACAGGTAGCTCAATACGCCGCAATGTAGCTAAAATTAGTAGCGCGCTAAACTGTGGTATCTATCGATAAATGAGCAACACATTCAAGGTTGTGTGAGAGTGAGGCTCTTAGTGTAGGACGAGGAAACATAACGGCAGCAAACTTTTAATAGGACCAACCCCCAGTGCATACCTAATTTCCTTAATGGCCAATGATCAAGAAGAAGATACTTAGGATACTTACCTCATACGTAACACCTTGGATTGAGGACTTATGCTAAACTGTGTGTTTGTGACATGTATTGCTAATGACACTTTAAATAGTGTTGTCATAAGATTCCTTATCCTTTTCCTTAATTGCAATTACTCTAAATCACAAAGAATTGACAATTAGTTTCAGCCACCCCAAAGACACTCCAAGATGACAGTCAAACCTACGTGAATATAAGTAGAATGTAATTATATATCTGTGCTTATGCCCTCATCAATAGCACCCAATCGTTAAAGTAAACCTTGGTTCAGGTTGGGACACTAACTTAAAGAGGGAAAGCTTAGAAGCTCAAAACGAAGCTCAATTCTTGAAAAGGATTTACCCGCCGAGGTATCCTCTTCTGCCAGATACCCGAAAGCATCGTTGGAAGGCAGCCACGACTATCGTCGGCTGCACAGAGACAGCGGCTGCTCCTCAAAGCTATTTCCAGCCTGAAGTGTGCCTCATGAAACTAATGAAGAGAGCGACTCGAAAAAGGTGGCGTTTGAGAGAAGGGAGGGAAAGACACTAATTAGGCATATCACAACAGGGAGAGCGAAGCTTTAAGGTGTGCTTCAGCCTCATTGGTATGCCAACCATGTGCCATATTAGCCCTTTAGTGTTAGCTGTTAGCTTAACCAAGGTAATGCAATATCCATTTTGAATGTGTCCCTGCGTTTTGGACATTAACTCACCGATTGTTCTGCATATTAGCTCTTTAGCATTAGCGGCTAGCTGAACAAGGCTAAAGCAATATCCATTTTGGATGGGATATGTTACCCAGCGCTCTCTGTAAGTCTTCTCTCACTGTGAAAGGAAGTCTGCTTCCTGCTAAGAGCCTCAAGGGCCAGACAAGCTGATGTAGGCCTTTGATTGTCTTTGTTTGGTTAAAATGTTGGGGGTTTTGCACAGGAGCGGGAGCCGCGGTAGTTATCTTGTCTCACATCTCGGAGAACAGCAAGGGGAGCAGCCCCCATTTCTAATAGCAGCACTTTGTAGTGGAGACAGGGAAGAGACAAGCTTACGCACCCTCCTGTCACACCATCCAATATGCACTTGTACACACGCTTGATACAGTACAAATACTCAAAACACACCCCATTGTCAAGTGTCAACTGTCTAAAAAATCTGTTCTGTTTTGTATCACATTTAGTGAATACAGAGCCTTGCTGAATATTGTGAGACTAGTGGTTATCTAAATGTTCAATCTGCATTTTCATATTATTTTTATTTTCTGTCCATGTCAATATAATAGCCTGGTAAATAAAGGGAAGGTTTCAGCAAAGTATATCTCAGATGGAAGCAGAAAATACTATGATGTCACTGAATAACTGCTTAGAACTTGACAATAGTATGAACCCAATGCACACATACACATTTCTTTATACCGCTTTGCCTTGCGCTCTCTCTCTCTCTCTCGCTTTCTCTCACACACACATTCTTGTTGATTCGAATTCTCTACACTCACACACTCTCAGTCTACCTCTTACTCTCTTTCTCTCTCCAATTGCTTGTAATTATTTCTGCAATCTTCCTTTGCTCTCTCCTCTCCCACTACTCTCACTTGCACTCAATGAACTCACAGCTATGGTTTTCTCTTGGTTTTCACAGAGGACCAACTGCCCCCTGGTTTCCCCACCATTGACATGGGCCCCCAGTTGAAAGTGGTAGAGCGAACTCGCACGGCCACCATGCTTTGTGCCGCCAGCGGCAACCCTGACCCAGACATCTCCTGGTTCAAAGATTTCCTGCCCGTCAACACCACCAACAACAATGGACGCATCAAGCAGCTCAGATCAGGTAGGGTGTCACTACCGCCACCGGAACTAAACCGGGAGTACTCTTTTATATTTGTACCCTAATCCCTTCTGTTTCTGTTCTCTCGTTCTCCTCCTCCTCTTCTTCTTTGGCTTTGATTTTGTAGGTAATGGCATTGTTTCTACTGCTTCTTCCTCCTTTTCTACGGTGTGTGTGTATCCTGGTGTGTGTTGTCTGTTCCTCCCACTCCTGCCTCTGGTGTTGTCATGGCTCCGTCGGTTGTCTTTGTGTGTTTTGCCGCTTCAGTCTGACTTCCACATTGCTCACTGCTGTGACTGTTCTTCTGACGAGTGGCTTTTCTTTTGGTTTAGTTTAGTTGATTCCCTTTGACTGCCTCGATGCAGTGTTTGACGGATCCATTCTCTTTCGTTTTTTATCTCTTGTTTTCCCTAACTCGATGAATATTCAACATTGGGCTTCACTCAGAACTTGCAAAGGAGCACCCATGGTTTTTAGCAATTTTGTTGTTTTTAAAGGCTGCAAGAGAAAATTGCAGAACAGAGTGAATAGGCAGACATTGAGGCTATTTCCTTTTCTAATTCTTTGTTGTATTTTGTTGTGATTTAACAAACAATTAGTTCCTATAAGCCAGTGGTGGAAAAAGTACCCAATTGTCATACTTGAGTAAAAGTAAAGATACCTTAATAGAAAATTACTCAAGTAAAAGTGAAAGTCACCCAGTACAATACTACTTGAGTAAAAGTCTAAAAGTATTTGGTTTTAAATATACTTAAGTATCAAATGTAATTGCTAAAATATACTTAAGTATCAAAGGTAAAAGTACAAATAATAAAAAAAATCCTTATATTAAGCAAACCAGGCGGCGCAGTTTTCTTATTTTTTTAATTTATGGATAGCCAGAGGCACACTCCAACACTCAGACATAATTTACAAACTAAGCATGTGTGTTTAGTGAGTCTGCCAGATCAGAGGCAGTATGGATGACCAGGGATGTTCTCTTGATAAGTGTGTGAATTGAACCATTTTCTGTCCTGCTAAGCATTCAAAATGTAACGAGTACTTTTGGGTGTCAGGGAAAAAGTATGGAGTAAAAAGTACATTATTTTCTTTAGGAATGTAGTGAAGTAAAAGTTGTCAAAAATATAAATAGTAAAGTAAAGTGCAGATACCCCAAAAAACTACTTAAATAGTACTTTACACCACTGCTATAAGGTCCCTTTAAACTAACAGTTGTATTAAAACAGAAGATAAAAACTTGTGGAACTTCGGTTGAGGCACCTTTTCCTTCCGGAATGTTTTCCGGCCTTAAGTAGCCACAGTAGTGTGTGAGGCTTGTGTCTAGCTTTCCCAGTCCCTTATTGACTCTCTCTGGATCTACTCCCTGCTTTTCCACGTAGACTCCAGATTTCTATTCTCTTTGCCTGTTGGCTTATTCCCAATACTTCCTCATCCCGATCCTCTGAATATCCCAAGTTTCCTTATATGCTAGCGTTACTTAACTCATAGTTTGGCTAGCAATATTTACTATTAGCATTCCTATTTGAGATTTGGCACTACTTCTGGTACAATTAGTCTTCTATGTTTGACCACCTGCCTTTTCAGATTTCACAGCTGTCCTTTGTTAAAATGTCTTGGTAACCCTCCTTTGCCTTGTTAACAGAATCTGTGTAAATTAACCCTCTTTTTTTAATGTGCGACTTTGATTTTCCTGTGACCTAGAGTTGATAAAGTTTTAACTCTGACAAAAAACTAATGTAACTTAACCTAAGGAATATAATAATATTTTTATGCTGTCTTTCTTCTCTCCGTATTTAAATCTACAGAATCCTTTGGTAAGTGCTTAGTTCTGAAGCACACTTCACTCCCCACTAATTTTTCTTCATGTTATAACTATTAATAAAATGCATGGCATGCATTTTACTAACAGTTAGTGTAGACACAAAGATGACGCTAGTGGCACACATATACTTTACCCCCCACAAAGTTTTCCTATAAGCAATACAGGCACCTTTTTCCAGAGCACACAAATTTCACCCAGCTTTAGCCCAGTAGATGCCATATCCCCCACCTTAGTGATATAACCTACCTATCTACCCTCACTGTATGGTCAGTCACTCACTCACTCACCCACTCACTCATTCACTCACTCAATACTGTATAGCCTACCACCACTATAGAGATTTAAGCAGATGTTTAGCAATTACTAGGAGGTCAAGCTAAAGGGTTCCAGGTCTCTTAAATGAGTCTCTTCCCTCTCATATCCAAACTCCTCCAAGCCTTACCTTCAGTAGATGGTCTTCAGAATCCATGCCACTTCCAAAATGGCATCTCCCCTGTGGCACACCACTGTACAACGTTCTCTGACCTTCTCTGACCTATGATACCTTCCTATGATGAATCCTGTATTTTTTTGCCAATAGAGTACAGAGTTATCTCTCTTTCTAGCTCTCTCTCTTTCTCCTTTCTCTTTCCTCTAGTCCGCTTTATTTACGTACTCTGTTAAGTCTAATTTGATTCTTCTTCCAAAGCCCCCAGCCTATATCTTCTCCTACTAATGCTTCTTCTTTCTAATCTTATTTGCATTCATATTATCCACCCAGGTGGTACACCAATAAGAGGTAAGAGTGCTGAACTGATGTTCACAGAATGAACAAAACAAATTCATTCTTGCTGTCGTCCCATCCATCCGCCCGTCCGCCTCCATTTTTGTCCTGTTTCCCGACTCCAAATCCCATTTCGTTCCCATTATCGACCTTCCTTCTTATTTGTCCTGTTCTGTTGACTCCATCCAATCTCAATTTTTTGTCTATGCTTTATTTCCTCCTTTGAATTTTGATTTGAAGAGCCTTTTTCAAAAAACTCAGTTGTGATATGCTTGCTCCGGCTCAAAGAAGCATATCCAATGACAACTTTTTTTTAGAACTCTAATTGTTCTTTCATTTTTTTGTTTTCTTTTTGGCCATAGCGACTCATGTGTCCCTCTTTTTGTCCAACTAAAACAACCAAACATTTTTCCCCCTTAGCTGTTCTTGTTCAGCACTAAAATTATGCACAGATGCTGTGGAATCACGCAGGCATGCTGAAGACAACATTTCCTTTACTCTGCTTTTTTTCTCCCAAAGAATTATTTATATCTTTGCAAGCCTATTTTTTTATTTATTCTATTTGCTTTCCTCTCCTGTACCTTCTAAAAAAAAAAAAAAAAAGCCCAAACAACTACTTTTTTGATAAAGTTTCTCCGGGTGCTTTTTTCCTCTTTCACCTATTTTTCTTACTTTTCTTGGGTTTGAAGGCTATTTTACTTTTTGACGATTTTTTTATTCTTCAGGGTTTGGGGGAAGGCAAACAGTTGAGTCTGGCGAGGACCTGGCAGGTCCATTTTTACCGTTTGGGAGTTGAAGAGTGATTGTTGCATAAGCCATTTTTCCCCTGGTCATATGACACCACACTGCGGATCCCATTGGTGGATTTTTATGGGTGTCTTTTGTAGCTTTCACAAGCTAACGCAGTGGTTGGTTGCCTTCTTGTCAGATCAAGGCCACCATTTTGAATTTTGTCTTCTAATACAATTGCATTTTATTTTTCAGCTAAGGGTTGTCAAAAGGTTGTAAGTTGTGCCGACATACATTTCTTGCTCTTTGGAAAAGATCTGCATGTCAAACATTTTGTGACAGAGGGTGATATATTGGTAATACGATATTATGATGAGTATTTTTTCACATATCTCAGCAGCATTTTTTTTCAGTTTTTTGTAAGCGCTGCATTTTTCTAACCGACTTTGACTAGATGAAGTCCTAAATTTATTTGATTGATATTAGATCTGTGATTGAATATGCTAAAATTCATACCCAAATTAATTTTTTTAATTGTCCTCCCTTGTTATGCTGCTTTTGTATACTGTTAAACCTCTTTTGTTTGATCCATGCTTCCTTGAAGCAGTTTCATTCATCCCCATATTGACAGTCCAGTGAAATGTTGTACATTGCAGGGCTTGCCCCTATCCCTCAAAGTCGAGCTATACTATGACATATTTTCACACTGGTCTTAAAGTTGAGTGCCTTTTTAGACCCTGCAACATGTATGTAGGTTCATTTTTATCCTCTGATGTCAACAATGAGGTAAATGTTAAATGTTAAATATTTTTCTATGGTTGTTAAATGTTTATTTGTTCCCCTAAGATTTCTGTAGGCCTGATAGTATAGCAATCTGTCTAAAACTATCCATGATTGCTGTAATACATTTTTATAATGACAGAAAATATGTAATAAAGATTTCACACATATTTGATACATCAGGCTGGGGTAATGTTAGGGGAAAACTGTCAAGTTACAAGAAGAATGCCTATTTGCGCGACAATGGTGAAGTAAACTATCCTCTGTGCAAATGATCCCTACAGATACAAAAAATCCCTCTATGCTAGTTACAATGGTAGCCGATTTTACTCTGTACCCTCATCGATTCAAAAAAAGAGCAAGTCTAGGAGTGAGGGGGCTTCAATGACATGTTGGCCCCTGACCAGTCAAGCAATTTTTTTTTTTTAAATGTTTGTTAACTTATTTAAAAATGGCTGACACTAAACCAATGGTGTCCGGCACCTACCTTCTATTCCCACGCAGGGGCCCTCCAGATTGAGCAGAGCGAAGAGTCCGACCAGGGGAAGTACGAGTGCGTCGCCACCAACAATGATGGAACCCGTTATTCTGCCCCCGCCAATCTATACGTCAGAGGTAGGAAAGTGACAACAAAACAACAACGGTATTCTTCTTTGGAAGCAGGTTACCCAAATTCTGATAAGAAAAAAATATATAAGAAAACATTAAAGTGGTATGTGATATGGTATATTATGGTACAACTGGTGAGATGGGTGTTCAAAACTGGGTAATTATGGGTAGTGGAGGTAGTGATCCAGTCCAAAGGTCCATGTCCAATGAGGTAAGTATGGCTCTTTTGTTCTATTTGACCTACCTGCACTGATTTGAACCTGTGTGTTCTGTTTAGTGTTTTTCTATTATTTTTCCTGTCTAACTCCAATGACTTGACTGCTTGGTGTGTTTTACCTACTAATTGCCTTTTACTCCTAAATGTACCTTGAGGGGAAACGGGTGGACAATCCCTCCAACAATCCCCTCTGTTCATAGTAGCAGATCCTCTCTGATCTTTCTGTTTCTTTTCATTTTTCTCTTTTGAGCAACAATGGAAGGACACCTTTAACTCTTCTTCAATACAGTTTTAAAAGTGCTGAGATTGTATTTCATAGTGATTGTATGTAGTTATCAGATAAATGTACATTTTCTAAATAATGAATTTTAACTACGTGTTGAAAATTACTATTTTTTGCAACAATCTTAAGTTTAAGTTAGTGTTGATATCATCAGTACATAATTGATTTGCTGATTTGCTTATAAGTGATAATTCATTGAAAGGTAACACTGTATTATGGCTTTCATAACACCTTCTTGAGCTATCACAAATCTTTGTTCCAATTGTCATGAACTGTCTTGAGGTTCGGCTTTCTATGTGAAAGTCACATTACATAGTCCATTGGAATAAATATTATTGTGTGTTTACTGATAAAATGAAGGTCTTATGTGTTGCCATGTCCATTGTTACTTTTTTATATCAATCTTTGAACAGCAATGGATATTATTTTTCATAGTTTTTCATTAATTTAATATGGATATTTAAATTGCCAGCTGTAGCTATTTTTCTTTAAAAACTATTATCTCTAATTCTGTTCGAGTCTTGTGGTTTGCAGTACCATCACAAATCATTAATTTAAAACACAGTCAATGACAATACTTAGAATACTGAATAATTATTAATTAATAGATATTTTATTGTGTGGAACAAACTGAATGTGGATATTGACCAAATTGCACAGCGATATCTTTCTGGATATTATATTATGACTTTTTGCATCGCTCACATTTTCAACATGCAGAACATTTGTATGTAATACCCAACCTACATATAGCACAGATATGTTCATCCTTAGCACTCGTTACAAGCCAACCACATGACTGGGACAGGATTGCATTATATGCTAAACATAGCAAATTATTTCAACCCTCAAAATGCTTAACATTTTAAAGTGGTGCTAGTTAAGACTTCTGCCTCTAAACCAGGGTATGAGGGCGATGCAGCGGACTCCCTGTCCACATGTGACAGGAGGTCCTTCAAAGTAGTAGTTTGAACGCCTTGAACATGGCCTTTTTACTCTCTCTGTGTTTCCCTTGTTTTCTTCTCCTTTCCTCATTTCATTGTGTTCTGCATCAAACCCCCTACATCCCTCAGAGCTGCGAGAAGGTTGGTGTTTTTTTACTTTTATGCCGCCTTACAAAACTGAAACTAAAGAAACTCAAAAATTAAAAAAATCTGAAGAATACAAATGAAGTGAATGTAGTTGCACTTGCGTGCCATTTTTCTCTCTCGTTTTGTTCTCTCCTTGGTTCATTATCATTTATAGCCTTGTATTATTATTGTTTCTGCTTAGTTGCTCAGTTAATTTTTTCCATGAAGAATTCCCTTGGTCTTGGCTACGATGCTTGACTGTCCAAAAAGTGATGCATGTCATGGGAGGGACAGTGCAGCTTTAGTGTGGTGGGAGGGGGTGGGATAATATTTGCATCTTCGGGGAGTATTTGCATGGTGACCTGTTTATGCTCAAGCTAGAGATCCCCCCTCCCCTTTGCTCTTACCCCCACCCCTGCCCTTTGCCCCCACCTCTCAGTGTCCTTAGCTTGTTAGTGTTCCTGCTTGATTACTCAGGCCAACGCCGTGACAGGCGGCAGAAAAAAGCACAGCGCCAACATGAGCCGCAGCACCGAAGCAGGAAGGGTGTTCTCTATCACTACAGGCTCCTGGAATGGAGCACTGCCACACTCTGTGGCCTGCCTAGGCACATGAAAATGAGCTAAGAATTCCCACTGAGCAGCCATTTGACTAGCTAAGACTGGATGCAAATGTTCCCGCTATTGCTTTTCATCATAGTGTCAGAGAAATATATGTTTTTAAATCCATAAGTTAAATTCCCCTTTGTTATAGTCAGTGGTGAGGTCTAGCGCTCAGCTGTTAAGGTAGCATAGCCTTGTGAGATGATACGCTACCTCTGCAAAGGATTTTTCCTACAGAGACGTTCATGAAAGAATAATGTATTTGGAGCATTAGCCGCAAGACTTGACAAATGTATTGATATTCAAATGAATGTGATAACATTATGTCTTGGAGGAGCGTGATCCAATTGGATATTAATTAAATATTAAGCGAGTGAAAAGTTGTATTTAATAATGCAAGGAGTTCTCTGAGATTCCTTCTCTCTGGAGAGGCACAATCTGCTTAGCAGAATGTGCTTTATGAAATGTGATGGCGGTTGAATGCGTTCGCTAATGCTACGTGTAGATTCAGGCTTGTAGCATTAGCAAACAATGCTATTAGCCAAAAATGCTATTAGCAAAAATATATATTTTAGCTAGCGCTCAGTTTTACATCACATCACACTCCCGTGTAGCTCAGTTGGTAGAGCATGGCGTTTGCAACGCCAGGGTTGTGTGTTCGATTCCCACGGGGGGCCAGTATGAAATTGTATGCACTCACTAACTGTAAGTCGCTCTGGATAAAATGACTAAAATGTTAAATGTACATCACGTTAATGAATATTAATGGCCGCATACAGTTAGAAAATCCATTGGCTTTTGCCATTACATTAGTCAAGGCTCATCTTTGTGCCCCATATTCGAGAGAGGAGCTTGTTTAATGTTAATTAAAAGTGATTGGGACGATGGAAGTGTTTCACTCTTTATTAGTATCACAGAGGTTCACCACCAAAGCACCAGAGTGATTCATCTTTCCAAGGCGCACGGAAGAGCAAACAACATTCCCCAAATACTCCCACCATTACGCCTCTGAGTATCCAAGGAGATTGGCCTATTGGGACCTATAGTAATTCTGAGTACTATAAGCAGTAACACTGACTTAATTCCTTTAATGTCATTCCTCCCTAGAAATGTATTAAAATCCAAACCCAGTTCCTGTATTCTTCTACCCCCGCCCCAGTCCCTGTCCCTTAAATTATCTTACCTTATATGGTGTGTTTGAATCATATGTGGTTAACTACCTTAGTCAAACCTCAGAAAACATTGTGATTTGTGTTAAGTTGCCTCCTTCGCCTCTCCCTGTCCTGTCCTGTCATACTGTAGCACTTCTCCTAATCTGTCCAGTGACGCTGTGCATTTGTCCTGCCCTGGCAACTCTAGCTTAATAATAGCCAGTCGTGTTTATTTCCCAGCAACCCAACGCTGCCAGCCTAACCCTAACCGCCCTCCCCATGTTTGATATCTGTTTTCTGTATGTCTGTGTTACTATTTATTTTCCCTCTCAATCCTCCTCTCTCCTTCCCATTCCCAACCATGGTTGCCTTTCCAAGCCAGCTATGTGCTTGTGTGCATGATAGAGAGCCCAAGCCCCCACAACAGGCCCCGGCCTTGTATCTTTCCATGTGCATAATGCTGTTTTCTTTTCAATTTCTTTTCAATCCATTTGTTTTTCGATCGGTTTCGAATTTTGATTTGGTTTTCATTTCTACTTCGAACGTGGTTATTTTGGAACGTGTATCCACTTGTTTGATCTGAGAAGCAGAGTTGCACTATATTCTATGTACTGCACCATAGTTGGATGTGTCTCCACCATGGAGTGTCTGTATGTGTGATGTGACAATGTGATGCGGCACATTTACGTCACATCAACTGGAAGAACGCGGCATTGAAGTTGTTCTCTTGATCACTTCACTCCGGCATGCTGTCGACCCTCCAGTTCCTCTGTGCTGTTCTCTTTATATCTGTATGAATGGTATAATTTGTGCATGGTATTTGTGTGATCGTTAGTCCGTAGCTAGTCCCATCATTGAGCCCTGCTAGGCCTGGACCGACTTGTGTGTGAAACTGTGTTTTTTACTCTCCATCCAACCATCACAGAATAAAATATCCATGTATAAATATATTACATTAGATATAAAAGTTACATTTCGGGCAAGTTGTAAATGTAAATATATTTGTTATCCGTATATGTAATTTATGAGTCTCTTTTTTTCTCGGCTGTTGATGGGAAACCTTGGCCTTGTGCAGCTTGTGTGAGTTGTTACCCCTACCCTCTGTCTTCTGTAGTGCGCCGGGTGCCCCCGCGGTTCTCCATCCCACCCACGGACAACGAGATCATGCCTGGAGGCAGTGTCAACATCACCTGTGTAGCGGTGGGCTCCCCCATGCCCTACGTCAAATGGATGCTGGGAGCCGAAGACCTGACGCCCGAGGACGACATGCCCATTGGGCGTAACGTTTTGGAGCTCACTGACGTCCGCCAGTCTAACAACTATACCTGCGTAGCCATGTCCACTCTTGGGGTTATTGAGGCGGTGGCGCAGATCACAGTGAAAGGTAGCGCACATTTACTTCTTCCTGTCATGTTTTGTTGGTCTCAGAAGGAGGGTTCCTAAAGCCTGGGACGTGTTAACACCAGCCTCAGTGCATTAGATGCTAGATTGAGAATCAGTGAAAGGCTTATCTTTCAACCAGGAGAGTTAAACACCAAAGCTCTATATCCTACAAAAAAAAAGTAGACTTTGGCTGTCACCATAGGAGAACCTTTTGAAGATCCCATGTTGGTTACAGGTAGAACTGTTTGGGGTTCCATGTAGAACCCTTTCCACAGAGGGTTCTACATGGAACCCAAAAGGGTTCTACCTGAGGACAGCCAAAGAACCCTGTGTGTGTGTGTGTGTGTGTGTGTGTGTGTGTGTGTGTGTGTGTGTGTGTGTGTGTGTGTGTGTGTGCGTGTGCATGTGTGGGTATTGTTTGGTCTTCTCAGTAGGCAGGGTACTTATCGGAGTGTAATCATATCTCCTCTGCTGCATACCAGAGAGAGAGAGATTCCAGATTGTACATTCGAGATGGCATATAACGAGAATCCATCGCTCTCATATCTTTCAATTCATGCCACTGGTGTAGGTATTAAAGCAATAAATTAACCCACTATATTATTTAAGAGAAACACATTGGAATTATCTGTCTAACAGCAGGACTTTTGGCCCTTTATCGGTTTTACAATAGTTAAAATATGGTTATAATGCACTGACGTGGCATACTAAGTAAGGCAAGGTTATAACAAATTTTTAAAATCATATTTATGTTATTTGTTTGTTATTCCAGCATTGCCCAAGCCTCCCGGCATTCCCGTGGTGACGGAGCGCACGGCCACCAGCATCACGCTGACGTGGGACTCAGGCAACCCTGAGCCTGTCTCCTACTACATCATCCAGCACAAGTCCAAGATCTCAGAGGACACATACAAGGAGATTGACGGCGTGGCCACCACGCGATACAGCGTGGGCGGCCTCAGTCCCTACTCAGACTACGAGTTCCGGGTGGTGGCGGTGAACAACATCGGCCGCGGGCCGCCCAGCGATGGCATCGAGGCCAAGACGGCCGAGCAGGCACCTAGCACGGCGCCCAGACAGGTCAGGGGTCGTATGCTCAGCGCCACCACAGCCATCATCCACTGGGACGAACCAGAGGAGGCCAACGGGCAGATTATGGGCTACCGTGTGTACTACACCATGGACTCTGCCCAGCAAGTCAACACGTGGGAGAAGCAGATAGTGCGTGGCTCAAACTTCCTCACCATTCAGGGCCTCATCCCTAACAAGACCTATTACATTAAGGTCCTGGCCTACACGTCGGTGGGCGATGGACCTCTGTCTGCAGATCTCCAGATCATTGCCAAGACGGGGGGTAAGATCTGTGTGTAGCATGCTTTTGTGTGTTTCTGTTTGGGCCAATGCCTTTAAATGGACAATTATGTTAACTGTATGTGAGTTAGTCTATAAATCATTGTAAGAGCTGAAGCTCTGCAATGTTTGAGTTGTGAGTAAACAAGCACATCATCTAAGTCTGCAATGGAGAGTATCAACAAGCTAATTCGACAGCTAAGTGTCTTTCTGGGAAAGCACATCACTCACTCTGTCCTATAAGTCAGATAAAAGTCTCCTCATCTTTGACCACAGCTGTAAACACTTGAAATCTCTTTTGGCTCTTGAGTGCCAAGCAATTAACTTTTTCATTTGGCATTCTGAATGACAAAAATCACAGTTTAATGAACAAGACTTGAGGCCTTGTTTACTTCATTCAAATATATACAGTTGAAGTCGGAAGTTTACATACACTTAAGTTGGAGTCATTAAAACTAGTTTTTCAACCACTCCACAAATTTCTTGTTAACAAACTATAGTTCTGGCAAGTCGGTTAGGACATCTACTTTGTGCATGACACAAGTAGTTTTTCCAACAACTGTTTACAGACAGATTATTTCACTTATAATTCACTGTATCACAATTCCAGTGGGTCAGAGGTTTACATACACTAAGTGTACTGTGCCTTTAAACAGCTTGGAAAATTCCAGAAAATGATGTCATGGCTTTAGAAGCTTCTGATAGGCTAATTGACATCATTTGAGTCAATTGGAGGTGTACCTGTGGATGTATTTCAAGCCCTACCTTCAAACTCAGTGCCTCTTTGCTTGACATCATGGGAAAATCAAAAGAAATCAGCCAAGACCTCTGTCTGGTTCATCCTTGGGAGCAATTTCCAAATGCCTGAAGTTACCACGTTCATCTGTACAAACAATAGTACGCAAATATAAACACCATGGGACCACGCAGCCGTCATACTGCTCAGGAAGGAGTCTCCTAGAGATGAACGTACTTTGGTGCGAAAAGTGCAAATCAATCCCAGAACAACAGCAAAGGACCTTGTGAAGATGCTGGAGGAAACAGGTACAAAAGTATCTATATCCACAGTAAAACGAGTCCTATATTGACATAACCTGAAAGGCCGCTCAGCAAGGAAGAAGACACTGCTCCAAAACCGCCATAAAAAGCCAGACTATGGTTTGCAACTGCACATGGGGACAAATATCATACTTTTTGGAGAAATGTCCTCTGGTCTGATTTAAAAATATAACTGTTTGGCCATAATGACCATCGTTATGTTTGGAGGAAGAAGGGGACGCTTGCAAGCCGAAGAACACCATCCCAACCGTGAAGCATGGGGGTGGCAGCATCATGTTGTGGGGGTGCTTTGCTGCAGGAGGGACTGATGCACTTCACAAAATAGATGGCATCATGAGGAAGGAAAATGATGTGGATATATTGAAGCAACATCTCAAGACATCAGTCAGGAAGTTAAAGCTTGGTCGCAAATGGGTCTTCCAAATGGACAATGACCCCAAGCATACTTCCAAAGTTGTGGCAAAATGGCTTAAGGACAACAAAGTCAAGGTATTGGAGTGGCCATCACATTTTTACATTTTTAGTCATTTAGCAGATGCTCTTATCCAGAGCGACTTACTATTAGTGAGTGCATATATTTTTCATACTGGCCCCCCGTGGGAAACGAACCCACCACCCTTGCGTTGCAAGCGCCATGTTCTACCAACTGAGCTACAGAAGGGCCATCACAAAGCCCTGACCTCAATACTATAGAAAATTTGTGTGCAGAACTGAAAAAGCGTGTGCGAGCAAGGAGGCTACTATTATTCTGACATTTCACATTCTTAAAATAAAGTGGTGATCCTAACTGACCTAAGACAGGGAATTTTTACTAGGATTAAATGTCAGAAATTGTGAAAAACTGAGTTTAAATGTATTTGGCTAAGGTGTATGTAAACTGTATACTTTTCCTCAAATAACAGGTAGTAGCAATAACAGGTAATAGTAATAATGTATTAATAACAGGTTACTACTAATGTTATTAGTAGTAAAAGTAGCCACAGTAGTACCAGCAGCAGCGCTCATCAAATATGTTTAGGACGTGAAAATTAGTATCATTGGTTTAGTGGACGAAATGTGTATTTGTATTGCTTTCCAAGTCCCCTCTCAACCGACCGACTTCAAAGGGGAAGCCAAATCCGAAACAAGTATACTACTATCGTGGATAGCCCCTGCACAGACCGGACAAGACAATCAAATCATGGGATATGAACTGCTGTACAAGAAGGGGGATGACAAGGAGGAGGTAACTGGTTTCTCATATTCAAAATACGGCTAGCTATACTGGCCCAAATGTATCTTAGGCCCAATGGTACACCTTTTTCTTAATGTTCTGAACTGATGACATACCATTATCTCAACAGAAACGAATCAGCTTTGAGCCTACCACCACATACCTGCTGAAGGACTTGAAACCCTTCACTACTTATACTTTCCAGCTAGCCGCGCGCAGTAAGCATGGTATCGGAGCCTACACCAACGAGATCTCTGCAGAAACCCCTCAAACACGTAGGTCCTCTTCCATATCTAAGCTCTGGCCAGACAGTTTACCACTGGATGTGGAAACACCTTGGAGAGAAAAACAAAATCAAATTCTTCCATTTTCAAACACATCTACCTTTGCCAATTTGGAATTACATATGCTAATTCCACAACATTTGGCCAAAAACAAAATATAATTGAAAGAGGTGGATGACTCTTAATAAAAAATGAATGTCATGGAAAGATAACGGGGTGTTTGAAAGTCTACCTGACCATGCACCTATTGACTTTCAAATGGCTGCATGGACAGTGTTCACCAGGGCTCTCCTCTGAAGTCAACCGACAAGGTCACACTATATACAGAAGCTACTCCTCTTCAACACCTTTGATGTGCAAAACATCCCAACCAAGGCCAATAATAGAGCCGTGAATTATTCATTTCAATTTCAATTTTCTCTTTGTCCAACTGTCTGACAGTTTTGATTAGGGGAAGGGCATGCTATCCCACTATTAGAAGCCTTGTCTCTTGACTTTGCGTGTCAGCCACGTCAGAATATTTGCATATTGAAACTGAGCTTTCTATGGAAATAAAAGTCTGCACCTTTTATCTGGCGGTCAGTGGAGTTTCCCTTTCTCAGTATAATTAATCATTGGTGATGCCAACCACTTAACAAAAGAATAAAATAAAACATTGTATAGACTACAAATTCCGTAGAAAGCTCAAAAGCAAGTAGTATCACTGACGATAGAGAATTACCTTATTACCACACAATAAGCCCTCAGGTTTATTGAAATTGCTAAAGTATTGACCAATTTGTCAAAGCACCAAATTGAAAGCTAAGGACAAACACATAGTGTATTTATTAGAAAAACATACATATATTTAAAATAAACCAGAGGTCTGTGTAAGACAAAAAAGCAGAGAACAGGTAGGTGCTAAGTTCAAAAAGTCCAAACTCGATGGGAGGTACCAAGAAAAGATGTCTGCATTGAGACTTTCAAAAGTCATTAATATCTCCTTGGGAAGTTCTCTGCTGTACAGTCAGGCTTTTACCACAAACCAACAGGCTTCGGAAAGGTTGGTGACCAATACAACTTTTTACACTTTGCTAGAGTTGAAGCATCAACCTTTATGTTTTTGGATTCGTGGTAACTGCTTGCCAAATGGATGATATTTGTTTGATTTTATTAGGATTTTATGTGATCAAGTGAACTTTTACTGAGCAGTCATTTGATACGTTTATATTAAATGTGGGTTTTAGTCATGGTTATAAGTCCAAGATATGAAGCCCTAGTGTGATAACAGCTTTTAGGAAAGAATATGTAAGGTATTATTTACAAAGGTAGGTTACCTATTGTGAAGGTGTCCTATTATCTCATGACAACCCCATCCATACATCCTCAGTGTGTGTGATTTTATTTATTGAGTTGACCTTGTTTGAAAAAGTGTTAGTCTTTTGTCTTTGCCTTTTGCCTTTTGTCTCATGTTAATTTGTGAAACCTCATTTCTTTGCAAACATTTGTTCAGTCCTTGTGCTTCGTCCTCATTTTGTGTCATATTTATTTTCCCTTTTCCTTTTCTGTATTGTTTGTTCGTTTCCACCACCATCATCCCAACCCCCAAAAAACTTCAACCTACCTGTGAAACCCCTCCTCGACACAAACAAAATAAACAATACCCCAACTGAAATGGTTGATCCAATCAAACAAAACCCTGCTCCTCCTCAAATCCACTCCTCCAATCAGAGCCCTCAGCCCCACCTCAGGATGTGAAGTGCTCTAGCCCCAGCTCCACCAATATCCTGGTAAGTTGGCGGCCGCCCCCTACGGAGTTACAGAATGGAATCATAACCAAGTATGCCATCCAATATGCTGCCACTGAAGGGGAGGACACCACCATCCAACAAATATCCGACATCCCTCCCGAAAGCTCCCAGTACCTCTTGGAAAACATGGAAAAATGGACAGAATACCGTGTGACAGTGACTGCTCACACAGATGTCGGTGAAGGACCTGAAAGTTTACCTCAACTGATTCGCACTGAGGAGGATGGTATGTTTTTCTGAAACCGCTGCCCCTGTTGCAAATCCAGTCCGCCCTCTAACCTCTAACCCCCTTCAGATACTGCCTAACAGCATCTATAGTCACTCTGACCTAGCGTCCCTCTCTGCTTCTTCCTCCTGCTTCTAACAAAGCTGATTCCTAACTCTCATGCAACTTTTTTTTTACTAAACAGACTGAGACTAACTTTTTTGTAAAGCTCAATGAACTTTTTATCAGTATTTTTCTACCTTTATCCCCTACTACTCAATTTCAACATATGGTATGGCATTTTCTCCTGCACGGCCTTTGACTTCCAGTCCCAAACTGTCATTAAAAAAAAACTTTTTTATGAGAAAAAACGTTTTGATTTTAACTTTTTTTATAAACTTGACTGAATGGCAAGATATGGACAGTGGAAAGGACACCATTTGGAAGGTGTATTTTTAATGGCCTAAAATGACAATATTTTTTTCTATTTCAATTTCATTTTTTCTTCACGCTTCATAGCCAAAATTCTTGCAGGGTGCTTCAAGCTTTTGAAGCATTCCCTTTGGCTCTTTTCTATTTTGACAAACACATTTTTATTCCATGTTTTTAATCCACTACTTCCATTTTTTTATGTTTCCAGATTAGGTCAGTTGTCAGACCTGTTTTTGGGGTTGTTTTTCTTTTCCCTTGCCATTGTTGAAATATTGATGTCATACAGTGCTTGTTGCAGTATGCTCGCTCCCCTTTTCTAGATTTTTTCACCTCAGCATTTTGCTCTTTGGAGTTGGCCAGGAATTAAAAGGGGGAGAAGGGGTCCTCTATAATCTTGACCTTCTTTCTTTTATCCCATGGTGTTCCTCCAGTTCCCAGCGGCCCGCCTCGTAAAGTCGAGGTGGAGGCTGTCAACTCCACATCAATTAAAGTGATCTGGCGCTCGCCGATGCCCACCAAGCAGCACGGGCAGATCCGAGGGTACCAGGTGCACTATGTCAGGATGGTTAATGGGGAACCCATGGGACAGCCAGGCATCAAGGACATCTTGATCGAGGATGTGCAGGTAAGCACCCTCCTCCTCCGCCTTCCTCCCCAAACTCGCACGTCCTCTCACCTTGAGACGTTATTTGACACAAGGACAACAAAGCATAAGCGTCACACCTGTAAAACTACATAAAGGATATGCTACTAAGCAGTATAACGTTTTTATGATATGGTTAAAACCTTATGACACAAATTATACTGAACAAAAATATAAACGCAACATGCAACAATTTCAACAATTTTACTGTGTTACAGTTCATATAAGGAAATCAGTCAATTGAAATAAATAAATTAGGCCCTAATCTATGGATTTCACATGACTGTCCAGGAGCACAGCCATGGGTGGGCCTGGGAGGGCATAGGCCCACCCACTTGGGAGCCAGGCCCACCCACTGGGGAGCCAGGCCAATCAGAGTTTTTCCCCACAAAAGGGCTTTCTTTCAGACAGAAATACTCCTCAGTTTCATCAGCTTTCCGGGTGGCTGGTCTCAGATGATCCCGCAGGTGAAGAAGCCGGATGTGGATGTCCTGGGCTGGCGTGGTTACACATGGTCTGCAGTTGTGAGGCCGGTTGGACGTGCTGCCACATTCTCTAAAATGACGTTGGAGGCGGTTTATGGTAGAGAAATGAACATTCAATTCTCTGGCAACAGCTCTGTGGACAATCCTGCAGTCAGCATGCCAATTGTATGCATTGTGGCATTGTGTTGTTTGACAAAACTGCACATTTTAGAGTGGCCTTTTATTGTCCCCAGCACAAGGTGCACCTGTGTCATGCTGTTTAATCAGCTTCTTGATATGCCACACCTGTCAGCTGGATGGATTATCTTGGCAAATGAGAAATGCTCACTAACAGGGATGTAAACAAATTTGTGCACAACATTTGAGAGAAATAAGCTTTTTGTGCGTATGAAACATTTCTGGGATCTTTTATTTCAGCTCATGAAACATGGGACCAACACTTTTAATGTTGCGTTTATATTTTTGTTCAGTATAGTTGTTCTCGGGGCCTTTGAAACTGACAGTCACCCATTGAGTACATCTATGATAAGATACACATTGTCTACACATGTCTAGGAATAGACCTACACAGTATGTGACTCCTCCTCTGTTACTGTCAATATCTGGTTGAGACAATCACAGGAACTTTGGGGCCTTCATTTAGAGCCAATGGATCACACGACTGTAAATTCAATGGAACTGACATAATCAAGAACTTATTGGTGGTCAGTGAATGACATCTCTTAAGGGTAAAATCATCAGTCAGTATAGTATACAGAATGTGTCTTGTCTGTGGCAACTTCTCTACAACTCTCTCTAGTCTCTACTCTCTTACGAGTGACCGGTGACTCTGTACTTAGCCTTTGTTTTGTTCTCTCTCTTCTTTTCCACTCTCTCAAATCTTAATCAGTGGGAATATGATGATTCAACTGAACATGTGAGTAGATACAGAGACCTGATACAGTGTTAATCCCGTTCCCCCTTCGTTGCCTTGCATGCTCTGTGTCTCCTCTGTTCATGATCTTTGCTTGGTTTTGACTGTATTGAACCTCACATCACCTCCTGGCAGTTCTGAATCCCGCTAAGACAAAACGAGAAAACATACACTACTTGTTTTGTACTTGTAAATTGAAATGGAATGGCATGACTAACAGAAATCCATATCCAACATTACGAGGCAATGCATAGTTGCTTAGCGGTGTTGATTATAATAAACAAGCTTTTTGATTGGGGAACCTAGTTTATTGCAGAGCCGAGCACAACACAACAACAAGATAATACGTTACCATTGGTACTGCACTACTTACACCCTCTCCTTTTCAATGCATGGGGTGTAAGTAAGCATTTTCTCCTTTTCAATGCATGGGGTGTAAGTCAGCATTTCGTTGGACAGTGTATACCATGTGTATCCTGTACATACGACTAATACAACTTTAAGCCTATCCACCAGTTCCAGATCGTATGCATGGAGCGAAGGATGGTGTGGCAACTGTGCTATGGTTTTGAATACTATATAATAACAGGACAGATTTGTACCAACCATGTTCATTGCCAGTTATTTACTAATTAGTGAGCTAATATCTGTGAGAAAATGTATGTCCTCTGAATCAATGAATTACAGCATAAATGCATGTGCAAAAATGTACATTAGTTTGGTCCTTTGTGTTATGAATGATCGTAGTATTACACAACACCCCTAAACACTCCCCCCTAATGCCCAAATTGCAGAAACATCCCTAGCAAGAGTAAAACAAATAAAAATCCCTATTCTTCTACAGGAAATGGTCATCACAGAGCTGCAGGCTGAGAGCACGTACTCGGTTGCCGTGGCAGCCTACACGACAAAGGGAGACGGCGCTCGCAGCAAGCCCAAGCTGATCACCACCACTGGCGCAGGTAAGGGAACTGTCACCGCTGTTAATGTACCCTGTGATCATCAAAAAATGCATTTGTGCTGTAGAAAGCTGTGAAATTGCACCCAGTGAAAGGAAGCCCCAAAAAAATAATGCTAAGCAAACCTTTCCCCCCACGGCTATTAAAGTGTGAATGCGGCTAATTGCCACCTCAATTATAACAACAATTGTAATTCCGCTCACCCGCCACTTTGACATTGGAATGCTCACAGGGGTTAAGGAACTAATGAAAAAATGAGGTGGAGAAATCGGGAAAGAAAAAGACCTCCGAATTGAAGGCAGCCCGACGGTCTGTTCAGCTCTCATTGGTTTCTTTTGAGAGAGCAGCATGACAGAATCCAAATGGCATTTCAGAAATACTTTGCTGTGTGTGTGAGACATAATTGCGCTGTCGTCTAATCCGTCTGAAAAGCCTTTCATGCCGCACCTGCCTGGCGTACAGATACAGATGGCTAGTGTGTGTGTGTTGGGGAGGGGATGGGAGCCTTTACTCAGTAAAGGCTTAAAAGGGATGCCATATTGGTAGGTATCAAAGCAAACAGCATTAGCATTTATGCAAACAGGGTGTTAGCAATATACTGCTCTCTTGGTGGGGTAACACTTTACTCATAACAACATCAGCCAATGGCAACCCTTAACACTGTTATGAGTTGGAAAGGAGATCAGATTCTGCTATGTCATGCATATTATGGCTTGGGTTGTTTTTGGGTTGTCATCATCCTCTCATAAATGTCGTAATGTCTGTCGTTGGATATTGCTTTTAAAATGGTATGGAAGTTTGAATGGGTTCTTTGCATGGTATTTGTACTGAATTTGTTATTTTGTCACCGCTCTTCTCTTAGTACCCGAAAAACCACGACTCATGGTCAGCCCTACCAACATGGGCACTGCCCTCCTCCAGTGGCACCCTCCGACGTTAACCCACGGCCCCCTGCAGGGCTACCGCCTTCGCTTTGGCCGCAAAGACGTCGACCCCCTGACCATCATCGAGTTCCCAGAGCGCGAGAACCACTACACCACCAAAGAGATCCACAAGGGGGCATCATACACCTTCCGCTTGTCCGCCCGCAACAAGGTGGGATTCGGCGAGGAGACGGTCAAAGAGATCAACACTCCTGAAGATGTGCCTAGCGGCTTCCCACAAAGCATTGCAGCAGAGGGTGGCACCACCACCACCATTCAGGTGAGCTGGAATCCCCTGTTACTGGCGGAGCGCAACGGCGTTATCGTGAAGTACGCCCTGCAGTACAAGGACATCAACAGCCCTCGGAGTCCCTCTGAACTCTTCATCACTGCCCCGGAGTCCACCGTCACCCTGGACGGCCTCAAGGCGGACACCACTTACGATATCAAAATGTGTGCCTTCACCAGCAAGGGCTCCGGCCCCTATAGCCCCAGTGTCCAGTTCAGGACACAGCCCTTGGATCAAGGTAGGACCCCACCCCAATTCACCTCCCGCCCCCCAATCCAACTTCACTCCACAACCACCACCAACAGCAACCACCTCGTCAAGCCTTAGTGGCAGAAGAACAAACAAAATGGGATTACTGATCTCATGATTGGTCAAAAAATCTGCTGTATGTATACATAGCCCTCACACCCCATAAGAAAGAAAGATATCGTAAACAGGTGGAGTAAGTATATGTGTCCCATGTGTTGTCAGCCAAGCTAAAGGTGAGTCTGTAGATTATAAAGAGCTGCTGTTAATAAAAAGGTAAGATAAAGTAAGCAAAGGTAAAATGGGAGCACTGTAGCCCTGCTAAGACCGCTCTAGTACTGGTTTCAGACTGGTTGTAAAGAGAAACATGTTCAGGTAAGAGATTTATTGCTTTGGAATCCTTTAAGGAGGGTTATGTTTGTTTTGTGTCTAAATCATCTGCTCCCTTTTTCTTTTAGCAGTGTTTGCAAAAAACTTTCATGTGAAAGCTGCCATGAAGACATCCGTGCTCCTCACCTGGGAGATCCCAGACAACTATAACGCAGCTCAGCCCTTCACAGTAAGAGCTTTTTGATTATCTTCCGTATTTTATGAGGACAGCAATCCAGAAAATATGAAGTGACATCAGCCAAAAATATAGTTGTCACATGAATATCTGAACAAGCTACCATATTGAGCAGAAGTCCGGACATTTCCCTGACTAAACAGACCTCAAATGTTGGATTAGTGCATCTCCTCAACATTCACACACCCTTTCCTACCATTGCAAATCCAGATCCTCTATGACAATGGCCAGAGCGTAGAGGTGGACGGCAAGCTCACTCAGAAGCTTATCACGGGTCTGCAGGCCGGGACGCAGTACTCCTTCCTACTGACCAACCGGGGCAACAGCGCAGGCGGTCTCCAACACCGCGTCTCCACCATGACCGCCCCGGACATCCTGCGCACCAAGCCCTACCTGACCGGCAAGACCAACTTGGATGGCATGGTCTCTGTGGAGCTGCCCTCAGTCCAGACTTCAGAGAAAGTCAGGTGAGTGGCGGGGATTAAAACTAATGCTAATGCTAATGGATAATTGCAGACTTGTACTTATAGAGCTGGCTATTTAGCCTAATTTGATTGCACTTAATTAATTTGCCTCTGTGGCTGCCCTAATCCATTTATTTACCTTGAGCTCGTCTTTGGGTTCAATTAAATCAGCAGGATACCATTAAAGCTTCTTTCTCCTTATTGCATAATGTCACTCATATTGCTGTTATTTTACATCTGCATAGTTGCACTCAAGGAGTGAAAGGGACAAGATTTTACACTCTGACAGATTTCTTAGCACATTTTTTTTGTTTATACTGTTTGAAAGGTCAGAACATCAGCACTGAAGAGTTCATCACTTTCTTTAGTGTACCCTGTATATTACATTAATTGCATTGTATCAAGCCTGTTCCTATTGATCTATGTTCCTCAACACAGAGAAGATGACACCATGAATTCTCCCATCCAATTTAGCCCACTCCTCAGTATTAAGCCTTGTAATGTATCTTACATTCTTTCCAACTAAGCTCTGGGTTGTCAAAAGGCCAACGCGCAGATCCGATTGTAGACTGGCACTTCAAACCAATCTGGGGTTTTGATCTTGCTGGACGCACTCGGGCCCACTCTCCCCCGTGCCAGTGCTTAAGCTAATTAGCTTCCCATCAGCCCGCCACACTGCCTTCCTGGCTAACGCTAGCTAGCACCGTGCCCAGCCTGGAGAAGCCCCGAAAAAACTCTGGTAGAGGCCTTTATCTCCCTTGTCGCCCCAATGGAGGGATGAAAATCCCTCTAATTCCAGCTCCTCTTCTCTCTCTCACGGAGGGGTACTAATTAGCCCATGGGGCTAACAGTGCGCCGACTTCTCTGATCATGCATCAATTAAAAGACAAACATGGAAGAAAACCGACTCTTAATGGAATGATAACGGGCTAGCGTAACTAGCTAATGGCGCAATCATGTGTCATCTTTGTCTCTTGTCCTCCACGCCTCCAACCCTGTTACACCTGCAGGATTAGCGCAAGGCTCCTCAACATCAACATTTGTTATGGTCCCCAGGGACACTAAAAATTTTGTGTCTGAAGCTCAAAGCTTTGATCTTGGTATGTTTTGTCTTGGCGCAGCATGTGACCTTCCATGTAACAATGGTGTATTGTAAACATGTTATGGAGTGAACAGACAATGAACTTTGACCTTGAAGAGCTTGAAATACGTTGTCAATGTGTTGTTTTCTTTCTTTTCCAGGGGATACTACATAGTGGTGGTGCCTCTGAAGAAACAGCGCACAGGAAAGTTCCTCAAACCCTGGGACAGTCCAGATGAGATGAACCTAGAAGAGGTAGGTACCACAAAAAGTACTTATTAAACAGTAACATTCAATTCCTATTGTGGGATCTCGATATTTACTGAATTGCAATGGAATCGACTTCAACCCAAGTCTTACTAAAAAGAGAGGTGGTGGGAAGAATTCTACTCTAACTCTGCAGATATGAGAGGATGGGGGTGGGGAAACCTGGGGACGGGGCTCGTTGATTGACGCAAATAGCTGTAGAGAGAATTCTTCATATGGAAATTAGGTAGAACATGGAGTAGTCATCAAGTGCACTGCAACTCATCCCGCCCTTCCCACCCCCTCTCCCCCTCTCAACAGTAATTACCTGGAGAGCTACATCAGGCCTCTTTGTCTATCCTTATTCAAGGGAAAGGTAGCATGCTGGTTATGCACGAAGTACTTGACAACTTTTATATTTAGCCAGTCTAGGTATTTCTGAGGCTTTCGTGCTCTCTGTATCCTCAGGTGCATTTGTACATTAGGGAGAAAGCTGACATAATGATTTAGCCTTCAAACCATGAAGTGTGTGTATTCTTTGTGATGCATCATTTGCATATAAACTATGTTAATAGTTTTTGGGGGGGTTGTATCATTTGATTTACACAACATGCCTACCACTTTGAAGATGTACATATTTTTTGGGGTGAAACAAACAAGAAATAAGATTTAAAAAACTTGAGCGTGCATAACTATTCACCCCCCCAAAGTCAATACTTTGTAGAGCCACCATTTGCAGCAATTACAGCTGTAAGTCTCTATAAGCTTGGCACATCTAGCCACTGGGATTTTTTCCCATTCATCAAGGCAAAACTGCTCCAGCTCCTTCAAGTTGGATGGGTTCTGCTGGTGTACAGCAGCCTTTAAGTCATACCACAGATTCTCAATTGGATTGAGGTCTGGGCTTTGACTAGGCCATTCCAAGACATTTCAATGTTTCCCCTTAAACAACTCGAGTGTTGCTTTAGCAGTATGCTTAGGGTCATTGTCCTGCTGGAAGGTGAACCTCCGTCCCAGTCAAATCAAATCCAATGTTATTTGTCACATACACATGTTTAGCAGATGTTATAGCGGGTGTAGCGAAATGGTTGTGCTTCTAGCTCTGACAGTGCAGTAATATCTAACAAGTAATATCTAACAATTTCACAACATATACCCAATACACACAAAACTAGTAAGGAATGGAATTTAAGAATATATACATATATGGACAAGCAATGACAGAGCGGCATGGACTAAGATACAGTAGAATATTATAGAATAGAATACAGTATAAACATATGAGATGAGTAGTGCAAGATATGTAAACATTATTAAAGTGACTGGTGTTCCATTTCTTAAAGGGGCCAGTGATTTCAATAGGCAGCAGCAGCAGCCTCTAATGTGCTAGTGAAGGCTTTTTAACAGTCTGATGGCCATGAGATAGAAGCTGTTTTTCATTCTCTCAGTCCCAGCTTTGATGCACCTATACTGACCTCGCCTTCTGGATGATAGCAGGGTGAACAGGCAGTGGCTCGGGTGGTTGATGTCCTTGATGATCTTTTTGGCCTTCCTGTGACATCGGGTGCTGTATGTGTCTTGGAGGGCGGGTAGTTTCCCCCTGGTAATGCGTTCGGCAGACCGCACCACCCTCTGGAGAGCCCTGCGGTTGCGGGCGGTGCAGTTGCCGTACCAGGCGGTGATACAGCCCAACAGGATGCTCTCAATTGTGCATCTGTAAACGTTTGTGAGGGTTTTAGGTGCCAAGCCGAATTTCTTCAGCCTCCTGAGGTTGAAGAGGCTCTGTTGCGCCTTCTTCACCACACTGTCTGTGTGGGTGGACCATTTAAGTTTGTCGGTGATGTGTATGCTAAGGAACTAGAAGCTTTCCACCTTCTCCACTGTGGTTCCGTCGATATGGATAGGGGGGTGCACCCTCTGCTGTTTCCTGAAGTCCACGATCATCTCCTTTGTTTTGTTGACGTTGAGTGAGAGGTTATTTTCCTGGCACCACACTCCCAGAGCCCTCACCTCCTCACTGTAGGCAGTCTCGTCATTGCTGGTAATCAAGCCTACTACTGTTGTGTCGTCTGCAAACTTGATGATTGAGTTGGAGGCGTGCTTTGCCACGCAGTCATGGTTGAACAGGGAGTACAGGAGGGGGCTGAGCACACACCCTTGTGGGTCCCCAGTGTTGAGGATCAGCGAAGTGGAGATGTTGTTTCCTACCTTCACCACCTGGGGTCGGCCCGTCAGGAAGTCCAGGACCCAGTTGCACAGGGCGGGGTTCAGATCCAGAGCCTCGAGCTTAATGATGAGCTTGGAGGGTACTATGGTGTTGAATGCTGAGCTATAGTCAATGAACAGCATTCTTACATAGGTATTCCTCTTGTCCAGATGGGATAGGGCAGTGTGCAGTGTGATGGCGATTGCATCGTCTGTGGATCTATTGGGGCGGTAAGCAAATTGAAGTGGGTCTAGGGTGACAGGTAAGGTAGCAGTTATATGATCCTTGACTAGTCTCTCAAAGCACTTCATGATGACAGAGGTGAGTGCTACGGAGCGATAGTCATTTAGTTCAGTTACCTTTGCTCTCTTGGGTACAGGAACAATGGTGGTCATCTTGAAGCATGTGGGAACAGCAGACTGGGAAAGGGAGAGATTGAATATGTCCATAAACACACCAGCCAGCTGGTCTGCGCATGCTCTGAGGACGCGGCTAGGGATGCCGTCTGGGCCGGCAGCCTTGCGGGGGTTAACATGCTTAAATGTCTTAATCACGTCGGCCACGGAGAAGGAGAGGCCACAGTCCTTGGTAGTGGGCCTCGTCAGTGGCACTGTGTTATCCTCAAAGCAGGCGAAGAAGGTTTTTAGCTTGTCTGGAAGCTAGACGTCTGTGTCGGCGACGTGGCTGGTTTTCCTTTTGTAGTCCATGATTGTTTGTAGACCCTGCCACATATGTCTCGTGTCTGAGCCGTTGAATTGCGACTCCACTTTGTCTCTATACTGATGTTTTGCCAGTTTAATTGCCTTGCGGAGTGAGTAGCTACACTGTTTGTATTCTGCCATATTCCCAGTCACCTTGCCATGGTTAAATGCGGTGATTCGCGCATTCAGATTTGCGCGAATGCTGCCATCTATCCATGGTTTCCGGTTAGGGTAGGTTTTAATAGTCACAGTGGGCACAACATCACCTATACACTTCCTGATATAGTCAGTCACCGTTTCAGTATATTCGTCAAAATTATTTTCGGAAGCTACCCGGAACATATCCCAGTCCATGTGATCAAAACAATCGTGAAGCGTGGATTCCGATTGGTCAGACCAGCGTTGAATAGTCCTTAGCACGGGTATTTCCTGTTTGGGTTTCTGCCTATAGGAAGGGAGGAGCAAAATGGAGTCGTGGTCAGATTTGCCGAAAGGAGGGCGGGGGAGGGCCTTATAACCATCCCGGAAGTTCGAATAGCAATGGTCGAGGATTTTAGCAGCGCGAGTACAACAGTCGATATGTTGATAGAACTTCGGCAGCCTAGTCCTCAAATTTGCTTTGTTAAAATCCCCGGCTACAATAAATGCAGTTTCCAGTTTGCATAAAGTCCAGTGAAGTTCTTTGAGGGCCGTCGTGGTATCGGCTTGAGGGGGGATATACACGGCTGTAACTATAACTGAAGAAAATGATCTTGGTAGATAATACAGTCGGCATTTGATTGTGAGATATTCTAGGTCAGGTGACCAAAAGGAGTCTCGAGTTCCTGTATGTTACTACAATTACACCATGAGTCATTAATCAGGAAACACACACCTCTGCTTCCCGGAGAGATATTTATTCCTGTTGGCGCGATGAACTGAGAACCCATCTGGCTGGACCGATTTCGACAGAATATCCCAAGAGAGCCATGTTTCCGTGAAACAATGTATGTTACAGGCCTTGATGTCTCTCTGGAAAGAAATCATTGCCCGGAGCTCGTCGTCTTGTTAACCAGAGACTGAACATTAGCGAGTAGTATACTTGGAAGCGGTGGATGGTGTGCGCGCCTCCTAAGTCGAACCAGCAGGCTGCTCCGAGTGCCTCTCCTCCGCCGGCGATGTTTTGGGTCAGCCGCTGGAATCAGTTCAGTTGCCCTGGGGAGAGCAAACAAAGGATCTGCTTCGGGAAAGTCGTATTCCTGGTCGTAATGCTGGTGAGTTACCGTCGCTCTGATATCCAATAGTTTTCCCCGCCTGTATGTAATGATACAAAACACTTTTTGAGCTAATAATGTAAAAAATAATACATACAAAAATAAAATAATACTGCAAAGTTTCCTAAGAGCTATTCGCGATGCCGCCATCTTCATCGGCGCCAGTTTCAAATCTCTGGAAACTGAAACAGGTTTCCCTCAAGAATTTCCCTCTATTTAGCGCCATCAATCATTCCTTCAATTCTGACCAGTTTCCCAGTCCCTGCTGATGAAAAACATCCCCACAGCATGATGCTGCCACCACCATGCTTCACTGTGGGGATGGTGTTCTCGGGGTGATGAGAGGTGTTGGGTTTGCGCCAGACATAGTGTTTTCCTTGATGGCCAAAAAGCTCAGTTTTAGTCTCATCTGACCAGAGTACCTTCTTCCATATGTTTGGGGAGTCTCCCACATGCATTTTGCTTATTTTTTTCTTTAACAATGGCTTTTTTCTGGCCACTCTTCCATAAAGCCCAGCTCTGTGGAGTGTACAGCTTAAAGTGGTCCTATGGACAGATACTCCAATCTCCGCTGTGGAGCTTTGCAGCTCCTTCAGGGTTATCTTTGGTCTCTTTATTGCCTCTCTGATTAATGCCCTCCTTGCCTGGTCCGTGAGTTTTGGTGGGCGGCCCTCTCTTGGCAGGTTTGTTGTGGTGCCATATTCTTTCCATTTTTTAAATAATGGATTTAATGGTGCTCCGTGGGATGTTCAAAGTTTGGGATATTTTTTTATAACCCAACCCTGATACTGTAATTTGTCCCTGACCTGTTTGGAGAGCTCCTTGGTCTTCATGGTGCCGCTTGCTTGG